AAAAAAAAAAAAAAAAAAAAAAAAAAAAAAAAAAAGAAAAAAAAGAAAAACAGACCTGAAGATCAGTGGAAAAAATTGGAAGACACAAAAACAACTCCAGATGTACTCAGGTACATGATCTTTGACAACAGAGTCAACCATCCCCAATGAAGGAAAGATAGCCTCTTTAATTAATAGTGTTGAAAAATCTGGATTTCAACCAGCCTAAGATTAAAACTAGACCCTTATCTTTCACTATGCACTAATCTAAAATCCAAGTGGATTAAAGATCTAAATATTAAAACAGAAACACTAAACTTCCTGGAAGATAAATTAGGCAGAATTCTTGAAGAAATTGGCACAGGAAAAGACGTTATGAACAAATCATTAGTAGCATGGGAACTAGCAGAAAGAATTAACAACTGGGATCTCATTTTATTAAAAAGCTTCTGCACTGCAAAGGAAACCATCTACAGAACTAAGAGAGACAACCTACAATATGGGAAAAAAATTTTACCAGCTGCTCCTCAGGGGACAAAGAGAGAATATATAAAGAACACAAAACAATCGCCCCCCCCCAAATATAAGGACCTGATTCAAAAATTAGTATCTGAAATGAACAGACATTTCTCAGACAAAGAAGTAAGAGCAGCAAGTAAATATATGAAAAAATGTTCCATACCACTGATCATTCAAGAGATGCAGATGAAAACAACACTGAGATTGCACCTCACCCCACAAAGAATGGCTGCTATCAAGAAATCAACCAATAACAAATGTTGGCATGGTTACGGGGAGAAAGGAACACTTCTCCATTGGTGGGAGTGTGGACTAGGGCAACCACTGTGGAAATCAATATAGAGATACCTCAAAGAGGTGGGACTAGAGGTTCCATTTGACCCAGCCATCCCTCTGCTGAGTATCTTTCCAAAAGATTTAAAAGAATCATATCACAGAGGTATATGCCACCTATGTTTATACTGGCACTATAAACTATGTTTATAGTTTGTAAGAGCAAAAACTTGGAAACAGCCCATTTGGCCATCAGTTGGAAACTGGATAAAGACATGGTTTTTCTATAAAATGGAACACTACTCAGCCATAAAGAAGGAGAAATTAGATTCATTCATAGGAAAATGGATATATATTAAAGATATACTCTTAAGTGAAATAAATAGTCACACATGTGTAAATACCAAATAGTTTCTCTGGTGTGAACAAACTATAATAGTACATAAGATTCTAATGAGATAATTGACAATGTGAAATAGGAAGAAAAGGCCTAAAGGTATAGGGGAAGTGGAAAGGTTAGGGGAAAGTTAATAAGGGAAAGAGAAAAATAGGAGAAAATGAAAAAATGGAAATAAAATGTTTGTAAATGGAGAGGGAAGGAGGGGGTGAAGGGAGGGCAGGGACAAAGGGAAAAACTGAGAACCAAGACCTGTCATGTAAAGGTACAAGATCCCAATGATAAATGTAACTGTACTGTATACTTAAAATGTACCAATAAACTCAGTGAGGGAAAAAAATAAACCACATACTTACATGAAGTTAAAGAAAAGAATAAAAATAATTTAATTTATACTCATACTCATAGACATACACATGCCTACCCAAACTCTTTTTAAATTATTTCTCCTGTCTAATTACTTTGGTTAATATATATTAATAATAATACTAACAGAAAAACTCCACCAGAAGACTTCTATAATTAATAACCATAATAATAATAACCATAACAACTGCACTGTATCCCATGTCTTGCCTATGGAGCTGAAGCACACTGAATGAGAAGCTACTGTGACTGAGCCTGCTGATGACGGAGCCAAGAGGCTTCTCCTCAAATCTGGAGCAGTACTAGTCGCCACCTTTCCTGCGCCTTCGTTTACATCATTTCTTTACTTCTCTCAATCAAACCACTTGGCACTGTGCAGTGAAATAATATATAATTTAGGTATAAACACAACACATGAAAAAGCAATAAATATAAAAATCAATGTAAATGTATGGTATGGTTGATAGGTACCAAAGGAATTTTTGAAAATTAGTTTTCCATGAAGAATATTTTACAATGGAAAATATAATAATCTTTGTCTCATTCATCAGGTCTAATTATACCAACTAGATAATTGCCCCCTTGCCCAATAAAATCCATGACATGAGGGATTAACACCCAAAGGAAGCCAAGGTTATTAAAAATCTCCTATTTATGACTCATTGCAGTTCCTGGAGTCACACAGGAAATCACTGCCAGGGAGCTGGGTCACACTGGAATCTATGACCCTCTCCTGACAGTGACTGAAAAAGAGCAGAATTCCGGACATCTACAAGCAGACTGCAGGATGAGGGGAAGCTAGGCAAGGAGGTTCCTTCCTTCTGAGAGGAAGGAAAGGAAAACAACACCTAGTAGCACCAGGCAGTTATGCTCCCTGCATGCCAGGCAAGTGTTCATGTTCTGTTCTTCAGTTTCTACCTTGGCTGTCACTTTCACCCTCTTCTTACAGTCACCATTAATGAAATCCATGAGTTGATCTATAATTAAAAAGCATTGTTCTGATGGTAAACTTAAAACAAGAAGAACATGGCATCAGAATATTTTTTTACATATGAGATTTAGAGTATTTATGATCCCTGCCATTTCTAATTTGCTGCTACAAAATTACTTTTGCTAAAATTGTATTGGAGATTCTACAACTGCATACTCATTGTAATAAATTCTTGGGACTACAGAGAATTAGGGCACTGTTAGTGTAATTTTCTGTTCATGAAGACCTAAGATCTTTTGGATTATTTCTCATTGTTATTCCTCAATCCAGTCAGATAATAGAAGAAGATACTATATCTTTAAATTTGTTTTCCTTTTATTACCAAAGTGATTACTGGAGATTGAATGGAATCAAATTGACCTGACCAGGGGTAATAAATTTGGATGTAGCTTTATTTCAAGTAAAGATATTGGGTATTTTACACCTTAGAAATACAAAACATCATGTAGAATTGGGGCAATTTGCTGATGTATTTAAAGAAGTGAAACTAGGAGACTGGGCATATAATCCTTCCTGATAAGATTGTTAATGTGGACTGTGTGACAGGAGAAACTAAACTGCAGGAAAACATCAGATGGAGGGAGAATCAGGCAGATAAAGACATTTCCTTTAGGAAACAATGCTATGACATATCTAGGTCCTATTCTTTCTTACCATTTCACTGATAAAAATGAAGTTACTTTACCTGAATATTAAATGTAGCCACAAATTTATTTTTGCAGACACCCAAGAGTTGATCCTTCCACAAAAATGACAAATCACACTGTGGTGACCGAATTCATCCTGCTGGGCATCCCTCAGACAGAAGGCCTAGAAACTGCCCTTTTCTTCCTGTTCTCATCATTGTATTCATGCACCCTCCTGGGAAATGTGCTCATTCTTACTGCTATCTTGTCTTCCTCTCGGCTTCACACTCCCATGTACTTTTTCTTGGGAAACCTGTCCATCTTTGACCTGGGTTTCTCTTCAACTACTGTCCCCAAAATGTTGTCATACCTTTCAGGACACAGTCAAGTCATCTCTTTTCATGGATGTGTTATTCAGCTCTTCTTCTACCATTTCCTGGGCTGCACTGAGGCTTTCTTATACACAGTGATGGCCTATGACCGCTTTGTTGCTATATGTTATCCATTGAGATACATGGTCATCATGAACCACAGGGTGTGCTTTGTCTTGGCCACAGGAACCTGGATGAGTGGCTGTGTCCATGCCATTATCCTAACCTCCCTCACCTTCAAATTACCCTACTGTGGCTCCAACCAGGTGGGCTACTACTTCTGTGATATACCTGCAGTGTTGCCTCTAGCCTGTGAGGATACCTCTGTAGCTCAGAGAGTGGGTTTTACAAACGTTGGTCTTGTGTCTGTGGCTTGCTTTTTTCTCATTCTTGTTTCCTACTTTCGCATTGCAATCTCCATATTGAAAATTCATTCCACAGAGGGCAGGCAACGAGCATTCTCCACCTGCAGCGCCCACCTGACTGCAATCCTTTGTGTTTATGGACCAATTGTCATCATCTATCTGCAGCCCAACCCCAGTCCCTTGCTTGGCGCTGTAATTCAGATTGTGAATAATCTTATTACTCCCATGTTGAACCCATTGATATATAGCCTGAGAAATAAGGATGTAAAATCTGCCCTGAGTCATGTATTTCTCAAGAGGAACCTTGCTTTGGAAAGAAAGTGAAATATCTAACCTTTTACTGGACACAGTTTGATTCTTCTTTTATTTAGGACAATTTCTTGTCTATAGCTTCTGCATTAATCTGCCATTTAATTTCAGTGTTTTACAATATGTGTTTTATAATTTTATTTCTCTATGTTCTATAATGAATTATAGCTGACAACTTTGCTTTGCAGACAGTGCACTGATTCCTATGTTGTGTGTGTTATGTCCCAGAACTGCTACCTCCCAAACATTAAGATATGACATCTATTCTTATCTGGACTAAGCTAAACATGTATATACATATATATACATATATATCCAAGAGAAAATGACAATAAAATTCAAGAAATGGTAGCTTAATACCAAATATCAGAATTATGTATCCATTCCTTTTGCAGATTTCAAGCTCCAGTGTTCTACCAATTTTACCTAAGATTTAAATTTGCTAAATTTTAAGATAATATGTCCTACATATTCAATTTGTATTATTTTAAAGTTTTCTTAGTGTATAGATTTTTGGGGATCTAGATATTTTTCCTTGCTTTATTAGAGTCTTACAAATCTATGAATTGAGATTATTCATTATTCATTATTGTATCTCTCAATCCAAATTATTTCGCATTAAATGCCAAAAGAATCATTATCAGTTATATAAATTTCTGTCAATAAACAATTAAATTTAAGTGTTTTTGACATGTTTAATCTAAAAATAAAAGGAATATTAAGTAATTTTCATGTTTATGAATAAATTCTATGTTAGCAATTTTGTAAAGTCATGTAGCAATAATAAACTTGAGTCCTCATAAGAAAGGGAATGTTTCTTCTTTTCTAGTAGTAAGACTGGTATGCTGTTTTGATTCCTTTAATCTCTACATTCTATAATTCTGAAGAAAAATAGTTAAGCTTTATTTACAGAAACCACATTGATATTTGTAAGGAAGATAGTATTCTCCTTTGTTTTTTCCTTGTTTTATTTTATCTTTCTTTTTGTATTTTACCTATCAGCTCTTCATGGCTTTTCTTGTAAGTTCTCTTTGGAAAGTGGCAGAGGCTAAATGCTGCAGAGGGAGAAGGAAGAGTGGAGAAGAAAGAAGAAAAAGGAAGGTTTAGAAGTAAAAGAGAACAGCATTTTATAGTGCAATATTCTTGCCTTTTTTTTTAACCTTCTTCTCTAGCATCACAGGTAGCTGATAATCATTTTTCCAAGTAGGAACTATACACCAAGCAAGAATGTGGTGCACAGAATCAGATAATATGAAGAGGGCTCCAGCCACCACAGTGCTGCTAACTAGGGTCCTGGGATGCACTGTGTAAGAATCTCTAATGCGAGGCAGTGTGATTGCATTATACATGCAGATAGTTACTCTTACTAGAAGTTTACCTTCAGGAAACCTTAGTGACACTGACAGTACTTTTACATAAGCAACAACTGCATTGAATTGTTAAAACTTATCATGTTACAGAATGAAATGTAAATCACGTCTTATTTCTCCCTGTCTCTTTAACATAAACATTAAAAATGTAATAGCTATTATGGTAAGGTTATTATAATTTTAAATATTCTGCTAATCAGGAAACAAAAAGCCACTGCTGTCTTAAACACTTTTATTTTCTTTCCTACATGTCTCTTTTTGGGGAGAAATGCTGAAGTAGGGATATGCATCACAGACTCCCCTCTTCCTACATTTAAGAATGTACTGATGCACTTTTGCTTTAACTTTTTAACCCCTTGCCACTATAAACAGATGCTAATACTAAAAATGAATAAAACACTTGTAAAGCTACAGTGGTTTAAAAAATCTTTGAATTTTATCCTAACTATTTTTCTTTAGTATGTGTTAAGATATAATCCCAGCTCATCCTGTCTTTCTCTCCTTTCTCAATAGGCTCACTTTTCATGAAGTGGTCAAGTTTACAGACTAAGTATCTGGCTTGCCAATTTTTTTTAGTGAATGGAAAAATGCAAAATAGAATCCAGGTCATGATTTTGGTTTGGATTGTTCTTGTTCTTCTAAGACCTTGCATTGTATTATGAAGTTCTTTATTTGACCTCACTCTGTTTTACCAATGTGGGAATTTGCTTCTATAAGCCTCCCTCTTAGGACTACATATCATTGTGTCCCATAGGTTTGAAATGTCATACTTATATTATCATTTGATTGTAGAAACTGTCTAAATTTTTCTTTAATTTTATCATGACCTATGGATTATTCAAGAGGGTATTATTTAGTTTTCATGTTGTTTGCATAATTTCTCTGGTCTTTCATCAATGATTTCTGGCTTCTTTACACCACGATCTGATACTATGTGTGGGATAATTTCAATTTCTTTGCATTTCATTAAGAATGCTGTCTTAGTTACTTTTCTCATTGCTGAGACAAAATACTCCCCAAAGTGACAAAGTTTACTTGGCTCACAATTTGTAGAGGTTTTAGTCCATAGTGAGCTGGCTCCAAGGCAGGGGCATCGTCGGGAAGAAACAAAACATGTGAGGCAGAAAGTAGCAAAGCAGTGAAGTAGCAATCAACAAGCAACAAGCAATGACAACAGAAGCCCTCTTATGTTTTATCCAGGCTACCTGCCCCTAGAATTGGTATCACCTATACCCTTAATCCTACCTTTGCACTGTGAGTCAATCTCAGCATCACATCTCTGATCTCAGCATCACACATCCTAGAATCAGTCACCCCCGAAAAGCCCCACCTATGAGTATGAAGCTTTAGGGAAGCATCTAGACACAGCCACAGCACATGCTTTTCAGGATAGTATGTGCCCTATTTGGGGGAAAAGCCCCGTATGCTGCTGAGAAGCATGTGTGCTCTGTTGTTGGAAGAAACACTCTGTAGATATATATCAAGTTGATTTGCTCAAAGGTTTGCTTCAATTCAGATACTTCTTGGCTAATTTATTGTCTAGCTGATCTGCAAATTTGTGATGATGGGGACTTGAAGTCCCACCCTACATTTGTTTTGGTGTATATTTTATTTTCACATCCATTAGTGTTTTATGGGTGTGCCAGTGTTTGCTACATATGTATTTATAATTCTTAATTCTTCCTATTGAACTGCTCCCTTTACAGTCTTTTTTTCTCCTTTTTCATTATTTTGTGTAATTTATCTGTTTTCCTTTTTATTACCTCAACATTCACGGCACATGGATTAGCTTTGGGGAAATTGGGAGTTATGTGAAGCATTTTGTTGCATTGTCTTTTCATACTCTTATTGTTGCTTTTTCTGTGTGTGTGTGTGTGTGTGTGTGTTTGAGTGTGTGAGTGCTGAGGTTTGTAGTTCAGTTATAGTTCAAAGTCTTTATTGCTATTGTGGAGACCTGTTTAGTTAGTGTCAGCTTTTTGATGATGCATTCCATGAGTGGCTAACTATAAAGTTTGCCTCTGTCCCAAAGTCCAACCAACTCCAGTAATTTGGGAGAGGAGTGTAGTATAATTGATTCGGCACAAATTTCTCCAGAAATGAATGAATGCATTGTTGATGACACAAAGACAAATCAGCTATTGCCATAAAATAAAAACCATGAATTGTAACAACTATTCCTGGCAATAGCAATGAAAATGGCAACAATAATAGAGTCAAAGCCAAATTGTATATTCACATAATAACCAATAAAATCTACCACTGTACTGCTTTTAACCATAGAAAGGAGATATATAATTATATGTACATAAAGATAAATAAACATTGACATACAATACATATCTCCTAAATGAGACAACTATGCCACCATTAACAGTACAAGTATTCACCAATAATAGCTTAGTGTTAACTAAATATCTAAAGATGAATAAAAAGCAATAATTATGCTAATAAAGATGAAAGTTTGGGGAATGAGAGGAACAAAGTAGTAAAATTTGAAAAATTAAGGAAAAGATTAGGGAGATAAAAGTGAGATAATGGATCAAATTAAAGGGTAATTTAACAAAATTGAATTAAAGTAACAGAAAAGATAATCAAGAAAGAGAAGAAAAGTCACAGAGCAAAATGAAGAAAAAAAGGAAAACAAAGAAAAAGAAGAAAAGAAAAATATAAAAAACCCCAATGAATGAAAAAGAAATGTTTCCCAAAAAATGCCTCTGTTTCTGAGTGAGTGGTTTCTTTCCAGTGTCTCTGATATTGAAATCTACTAGGTGAGGGGAAAAGTTAGAGAATCTTTGCTAAAATCTATTTTTTTCTACATTCATCATATTTTGTATGAACGCTGACTCCTGACCACTCTCTCTTGGCGTGGTTGTCAAAATAGTGTTTGCCCTTGGTCTGTGGTAACTCCAGACTTTCAGTTTCAGTAGTATTCTGTGCACCCATGTCATAGATTTCTCCTCTAGCTTTATGACCTATGTGTGTAGCAACAATCCAAGCTGAGGCATATCCTTGCTCATGTTGGTAGGTGGGGAAAGCAAACAGGCCCCTCAGTTTCTTGCTGGATGTATGAAGCAGGTTAAGTAGACCTCCAGAATTAGTGTCAGGATTTGAAGACCCAGCTCATTGGGAAAGCAACAGATGACCAGCCCAGCTTCTTACTACAGAGGGAAGGAAACTTCTGTCCTTTCCAGTCTGAGCTTAAACTATTCAGTGGGTTGTTGTCTAGCCCATACTTGTGACTGTCTCTTGTACCCATCTCCCACACAGTCACTCTGAAATATACCATGTTTCCCCCAAAATGAGACCTAATTGAAAAGCAGCAATTCCAGCCCATCAGCCTATTCTTGCTTTACCTGCCATTAGAGTATTCACCAATCAAGAGAAGAGTGAGGTGCAAACATCTAGATTGCATGACACTGGCCATCACCAATAGGGCCCATTCCCTGTTAAGTGTTTTCAGTTAAGTCTTATTTTCAGGGAAACGTGGTAGTCATTCTGAAGTTGTTAATCAGGTATCCCCTTCCCAAAATGATTTCTCATTAAACTCTCTCACATATGGGGGGTGCTGCACTGAACTGCTTCTCTAACTCTATCCTGCCATGCACAAGGAGTCACTTCCAGAGCAAACCCCCATACTATTTATTG